ACACACACACACACACACACACACACACACACACACACAGAGATGGATGTGATTTGTGAAACAGTGCACATTAAACTGAGTGAAATCTTTTCAGATTACAAATTTTTGGCCAAGCTAAATTCTAATATTTGTATTTAAGGAGGTGAACTTACAATCAGCATAAAAATACTATACTGTTAACTAACATTTAAGGCATGTAAAATGACATTCGGAGACGTATCACTTTCAGCTTTCTATAAAGTGTCTGAAATTCTACAACTTGTGCCCACTGTGGTAAACTTCTCAGCCAAGAGGCAAACGTAAAGCCTCACTAGAACGGAAATAAAGGCGGGTCTCAGAAATACGGGATTCACGGGCTTGAGGCAATCGGTGATTACATCTGACAGAAAAGTGGAAACAGTTTTGAAAAAGTAGTACATTTTGTTAAGCAAACGCATAAGCATGTGCTCACAGTTTGAATTAATTTCTTATAGAAATAAAAGTATTTATTTTGGTTGAAAAATATCATTTATACTCATTATTAGTCTAATCTTTTTAAAATGGAGATAAATATCAAATTTGGAAGCTTTTATCGATCATATTTTCATAATTTTCTTATGAAATAATTACACACACTGCTGGGCTGGGTTTCCATGGCTGTTCTGTCCCCTCTGGTCACCATTATACCGTTACTATATCCGTACACACAGTATTAATTTATTTAATTTTTAGTAGAATGCATGAAAACAATCCACAGAGCAGCAGAGAAAGAGGGAAGGAGAGGGATGTGGGAAAGCACCCCTATGGCACATGGTTATGCTGCAATCCCTTGTACATCTCTCCCCTTATAGGACTTTGGGCACACACACACACACACACACACACACACACACACACCTGGAGTGTTTTTCAAGCTGCTGGGTCAGGACTCAGACTGTGCAGTCAGTGGGCTATGTGGGGTCTAGCTGCCTCAAGCCTTGCACCACCAGCTGGTACCATGCGTTTTTGTTGTTGTTGTTTTCAAGAATTATTTTATTTCACTTTTATTTCTTTATTTGTTTTCTTTCTTTCTTCATTTTAATTTGACCAGAGAGGGGCAGAGTGAGAGATTGAGAGAGAAAGTGTGAAAGCAAGGTGCTAGGCTTAGGAATCAAACTGCAGTCGGTGATGTGGGAATCCTGCACCCTTATCGACCATGCACCTGCTGGCCCCATGATTATTTTTAATTGTGATACTGTTCCAATAATTACAGCATTACACAAAATAATTGACATGTCTATAACTCTAAGTCAGATATATGCTTGAATCTATTTTTAAAAATCTTGCTCAGTCTAGAAAACTGTGAAGTACTCTGATGATAGTTGTACAAAAAAGAAAAGATTTCAAAAATTAACCCAAAGACACTTTTTAATATGTCTCAAAATTATCTACAAAATGCACTAAGTGCTGTTTTCTCAAGTACACAGCCTATGTCCAGTAAACCACAAAGAAAAACATCATTGATTGATGGAAAGTAATTATCAAGTACATATCTCCAAAACTAACATAAAATTATTTAAATACCTTATAAACGTAGCCCTTTTACTGGCTTTTGACAGAATATGGAAGATTCACTGCTGAGTGAAGCAAGCCAGGCTATGAAGGAGAGGCACTGTCGGCCTCTACTTAATACATACAGAATGTCCACACTCCATAGCTGAAACTGAATGACTAGGGGATACAGAAACATAGAAAATGATTATAAATACCGTGTACAGTGTGGGAAGAGGGTGGGTGAAGTGGAGAATCTGAGGGGGGACATGGGAGAGAAAGGAGGGGTGGGAATTTGTGGAACAGAGAGATGTGTTTTTGTCTGTTGAGGATGATGTGTATAGTATCGCCAACCGGATAGATAAGAAATGTGTACATGTTGGAATATTCACTTTGCAAGCTAAGTGACATATGTGATTGAATGTATAAAAGAAATTGAAATAAAATATATTTAAAAATGGGGGGGGGACCAGCAGTTGGGGTAATGGCTATGTCGCTGGACTCCCATGTAGTCAACCATGGTTCAAGTTCGGGACACAGTGGCTTAAACTCATGCCGGGCACGTGTGCATGTGTGCCCAAGATCCTGAGAGGAGAATGGAGGAGAAGGCATTGCGGCATGGCCATGGCCCATGGGAGTGATTTCTCACTTTCTGTCTCTCTGTCTCTCTGTCTTTCTGGCGAGCACATGTGCTCTATAGCAAAAATCTCTCAAAAAAAAAAAAGACAAAAACAGTTTATGAATAGTTTATATTTCCAAAACTAACATTAAAAGATTTAAATACATTATAAACAGCTTATAATAAATCTCCATGATTTTAACTAATCTGAAAGCTTCCTGTACTTCTGAGGGTGGCCTGAAGAATTTTATTATATTATCGTCATGCGGTAAAGATTATTATAAACTAATAAGGTTCACTTCATGGTGGTTATCGAAAAAGTCAAAATATGAAGGAGATCTGCTGCTCATATTTTTGGTTCATTTACATATCACAGATTCAGCAGCGCCAGTGGTATTTCACGCAATGTGTTAGAAGAATCTGTCCCATCCAGGTGAAAGAACTCCTCCATTTCTCCCAGCAATTAGCCATCAGAGGCAGCTCTGTGGTCCTTGATCCCTAACTCCCTAGGTGTTTCTTCTGTTACAATGATAAAATAAAATCAAAGTTTAAAATGCTCAGAGAAATGGTTTTGATCTCAAGAGGGAAGACAGGATAAAGAAATGTTGTCTAAGACATGTAAATGCTAGCTTTGGTAAGGATTGAATCATGGAGATTCAAATGAGAACTAGCCAAGTGATAAAAGGCAAGGTTTTAGTTGTACCAGAACCTTTTTTTTTTTTTAAGAAAAATTTTTGTTGTAGAGTATGTGCACTTGCTGGAGAAAGAGAAAGAGAGAGAGAGAGAGAGAGAAAGAGAGAGAGCAAGAACTCACCCTTCGGGGGAGAGCCACAGCTCAATCACTTCTCCTCCATTCTCCTCTCAGGATTTAGGGCACGCCCAGTCACTCAAGGTGAAATTCAACCAACCTGAGTCCAGGACACAAACCACATTTGGCCATGTGGCAGTCCAGCGCCACAACCATTACACCATCTACTGGACCCACCAGAACCTTTTTAGTAAAACCAGATTTTAAGGCCCACACAAAAGATTTAAGGCCCACAAACACCAAGTGGGGGTGGCAGGGAACAGGTGGAGTCAACTCTTTGACATGGAGAACAAAACTGACCTGGCTACATTCCAGAATTACTAGGTTTATGGTCAGACTTGCTCTCACTGGGAACAGTGACTCTCGCTCCTGGAAAGCTGTAACTGGGGAAGAAATTCCTCTAGGATGGATCATGAAGGCCATTTGGGGCACTTCTTCCCAGGAGTAATGAGGGCTCATAGACATTTCTGTCCTGTGCATTTAACTAAGGCACAATAGCTGTTCTATTTGAAGACCTAGCCAGACACACACTTCCCAAATTTCATGAGTAGCAGAGGAGAAATTTTAAGGATCGCAATAACAAATGGTACTCAGTGCCATGCGCTGAGCAAGGACTGAATTATGGACACTCAGAGGAGGGCTGTCCCAGGGATGAAAGGCAAGGGTGCCCCATTGGGCACTGACGACTGGACTTATTTCTAAGTGAGGAAGACAGACACCTGAAGGAGCTGGTCGTTGCACCATGTTCCATGGTGCCAGAGGTCACTACATTTGAGTCCATCAGTAGCTTCCTCAGGTTTGTCACCCATTTCCATCTGTATTTTATTACATACCTCAATAAGGCAATGGTTTCTGTAATTGTTTTTACCCCGATTTAATCAGGGTTTATTATGTAAAGTATGGTCAGTGGAGACATCCTATCTTTCTTTGGTCTAACTGTATTCTCTTGAAAGCATTTCAATATGTTGTGTGAACTTTCTGACTACATATCAGTATTGATGCAGCCGGCGAGAAGTGATAAATATTTTCAATGGTAACAGGTTTCCACAAGTATATTCTGATCTAACCAAATAAAAACATTAAATCAATACTTAGAGAAAAGATACTTATTAAAACTAATACTATCCAACAAATCTAATAAACGTCAAGCAAAACAGTCACCATAGAAACAAATAAATGTGTACCTTCTCTCCATAATATGTTAGCTACTGCAGCATGTCAAAAAGAAAAAGAAAGACAAATGAGTAAAGAGAGCTTTAAGTGCATCGTCGTGTGAGTGAGTATCGAGGCGGTCGAAGACTCCAGAGCAGAACCCGTACAGGGAAGCAGTGCTGGGAGTGCCGCGGGAGCCTTGGATGGACAAAGCAGCACGTGCCGTCAAATGGGCAGAACAATGCACAGTGTGCATCAGCCACCAATGCTCTGTGCGTTTCTTCAAAGAGCCAACTTTTCTTCGGAATAAAGATTTTGTTAGTAAAGAGCTTTTTATGCTTCATTGAAAAGAACAGAATATTTAAGTGAATTTTACTGAAATACATTCTCTTAGGAAAAAGCATTGGTAGTTAAAACTATTTATTTAGTTGACAGTTTAGTTATAAGATACTAATAGAGAAAGCGATGCCTTTTAAAACGTGCAATAATCACAGCATGTCATATTCTTATATTTTACGAAATATTTCTGAACAAGAAACACTCTTGTAAATACGGCATCTTGAACACAGAGAGTAGCCTATTTTCAAGTAGCATATGTTTTCACTGTTCTAAACCAGACAGAATGAAAATATATCTAGATGTATCTTGCTTAGTTTAGCACAGATTGAATTGTTTCTAGACAATAATAGGCTTATCCAATATGATAAAGAGACTAACTCAATTAAGACTTAAAATATGAAGATAGAAATAAAGAAAAATTACCAATTGAAAATATTCTCAAGGAAATGCTTGTCGCTTTAACAACTCAAAATTACTCAGACTCTATGTACTTTCAAAGCCAAACAAGTCAATGAGAATGAAGTATAAATAGAAAATTTCACACATATCTCATTATTCCTTAAGTAGTTTTGTTACCAGCCAACTAAGTCCAGCTGCTGCTTCTCATGGGCAATGAGACAAGAAGCAGAGGTTGGAGAAGAAGGGAGTTGATTTCTCTCACTGGTTACAGGGAGGCTGTCGGCAAGCACCAAGCCACCGTCTCGGAAAGCTCAGCGTGTGCCCAGAGGTTCAGGAAGGAGATACGAGCAGGTGCGAATCCGTCCCCACTTCAGTCAGCCAGAGTCCAGAGCCTTCCCCTGAGTGAGGATCCTGACTCCTTCAGGCCCCCAGTCCTGGTTTCTCATCATCAGACCATCCCTCGCACAGCTCTCCCCAGGACTGAGCACTCGGCCAGGCGGCTCTCGGTAGGGGCCTTCCTCAACTTCAAGATGGCTGCCATCTTGTTAAACTTCAAACTGGCCTGCTTCGTTTTGACAATATTAAAGTATTATTTCTTGTTTTCTGCCTGAACCTGCGTGTGCATGTAGCCGCACCAAGAATGGAGCCTAGCACTCCTGACTTGAGAACTGAGGCTCAAGTTATGCAGTTTTCAGAACCTGCTACATTTCTTTTAGGAATAAATTGTTAAAACTACGCATTATTTTTTTTGGAGGGTGAAGATTTTTATTAAGTTTTTAGTAATACTTATCTGAACACGCACACATGACGTATGCAGTCCTTTATCACGTGACGAGGTAGCGTTCTTGTCGCCTATTTGGGACAATCATGAGAAACAGCAAACATTTGCTCACGTGATAAACAAGTTCTGGGGCTCCTGGGCACCGTGTGGGTGGTGACGGAAACACTAACCTGACTTTGGGAATCATGGCACATAGTATACATACAAGGGGTCTTCAAGAAGTTCACAGAAAATGCATGTCATTAAAACAAAAAAGCTATGCATGGATTTTTTAAAAAAAGTTTGCACCAAAATAAACTCATACTTTAATTCCATTTTCCATGAATATTTGAAGTCCCTTGTATATCAAATCACATTTTACCCCTTGGCAACAAACGCAATCTTTGTTTGTTAATTAAATATTTTAAAATAATTAAAGTGCAGATTTTATTTTCAAGGGGCCGTAGCCCTGGGAGTGGAGAGAAACAAGGAAAAAAACAAATTCCAACCATGTGAAAAGTGAGGAAACAGAGCAAATGTCAGTTCTGTCGAGTGTAGATGGGACAGAATGGTCACATCTGAGGAGCTGAGGTGGGGCAGCTGAAGACTGGCTTTCCTGGATGAAGCTCACATGAGGGGATGTCACCCCAGCTGGCAAGAGGGCAGTGGCTACAGAAGGTTGGGAGATCATTCTACACACAGGAAAAGCATGTTCGCAGTGCACCTGCCAGAAACATCAGAGCGTGTTCAGAGAATGTCAAGTACTTTGGTACATTTGGAAAGCAAAACTGATAGAAATTAAAGCTGGAGGATCTGTCCAGGTTAAAACCAGTAAGTCTTTTACACAATGCAAGAGAAATTAGAATTTCCTCCGCAGGCTCGGGAATGGTTGTGCCATGATCAGACTGGCCATATTTCTCTGGCTTATAGAAAAAAGATGCCCAGGTATGTTTCCTCATGTCCCCATCTATTCGCTTAGGGGACACAGACCATGGACACGTGTGTAGCACATGTCAGACACTGTGTTCAGCGCTGCGTACACAGGTCAGAACACACCCCCCAATATGTGCTAATAGAGCTCATATTTCAGTTGGAGAGACAAACATATTTGAGGGACCATGAGTTGGCGTAATGGCTGTGTCACAGGACTCCCATGTAGTGGACCATGGTTCGAGTCCTCGGTGGCTTAAACTCACACTGGGCACATGTGTGTGCATGCCCAAGATCCTGAGAGGAGGGTGGAGGAGAAGGGATTGCAACGTGGTCATCTCACTTGGGGGATCATTTCTCACTTTCTGTTTCTCTGTCTCTCTGGCAAGCATACACGCCCTATAGCAAAAACCTATCAAAAAAAAATTTGATCATGACACAAAATTCAAAATTTAAATTGAGTGTGTTGTGTAAGAGAGGAATACAATAATGTGAATGCTTTTAATGGGTGGGTTGGACTTCATCAGTGAATCTGGGAGAAATGTTATGATAATGTTTCGGGTGAAGCCTGGAAGATAAGAATAAGCACTGTTGGGATTGGATTTCTGGATACAGAAAAAAGCATACACCAAATCCTTGTAGGCTATTAAAGCATTGCTATTTAAAGGACTAAACACGTTAGAATTATAACAGAGACATCTTTAAGACTGACATTCATTTGTGAATAAATATCAAAAAATACAGGCCTTACAACACTAATATCAGATAAAAAATCAAGGCACCACAAATTGAACTTAAAATTGTATAAGCTAAAAGCATAGCATTAAAATAAAAAATAACTTTTAGGACTGGATGTGAAACTGACAAATCCTCGGTCACAGTCAACTTCTTCACCATATCAGTCTTGGTATTTGAAAATAAAGGGGGAAAAAAGACAAAGTCTCAACAATAAAATTCATCAAGATGGAATTACTCATCTATACTGAATGTCTTACTCTACCTACAGAAAATGTTCCCAAGTTTTATGGGAGGTTTCAAAGAGCAACTACAATGTAAACTGCAAAATAGAAATAGTTTGTCTATGTGTGGATATATTCCAATAAACAGAGATTGTTTAGGCATGGCCAGAAAATAGAGTAATTGTACAAACCTGCAAGTTTTTAAACCTATGAAATTTGTCAATAAATTGAACAATTTAAAAGTCAAAGATAATAACAATTTATATAAAATATAACAAAAAGTGATTTTTGTTGTTTAGGTTTTTGCCATCGGGTGTGTGTACTCACCAAAGAGAGAGACAGAGAGGGAAAGTAAGAAAACACACCCCAGGGGGGTGCCCAGACCACAATCCTTTCTTCTCCATTCTCCTTTCAGGAGTTTGATTACACACACACACACACACACACACACACACACACACCCAGTGTGAGTTTCAAGCCACCGGGTCAAGGACTCAAACAGGAGTCAGCTCTGTGGGAGTCCAGTGCCTTAACTACCATACCAACCTGCTGTCCTACCCCAACCCCAAAAAAGTGATCATTCAACACATGGACCCTAAGGGTTTTAGCGAAAAGATAATGTAAAGATTTATCTGATGCTCCAGTGAGCAAAGCAGATGACAGAGAGACAGAATGAGAAAAAGAAGGAAGAAGAAGAGAAGGCAGGAAGGGAAAGGAAGAGGAAGTGGAGTGGGGAATGCTGACTATAGGTATGACATTTTTAAATTCAGGTAGAAATATCTGCTGAGAAATTCTATAATCTGGATTTTTTAAATGGGTTATTATCTGTTGAAAATAATGTGTACCCTATTCTCAACTGGATTGGTGAGAAACGTATACATGTTGGAATATTCACTTTGCAAGTTAAATGACATATGTGATTGAATGTATAAAAGAAATTGAAATTAAAAATTTTAAAAATTCAAAGAATTACAAATTTACAAACTGAGCAGAGAGAAGAAATCTGAGTAAAAATAACCCTTAAAACTTTGTCTTCTGAAATAATCTGAGGTTCTGAAGTTTTTATCATCAATATTTTTTAAAGTTTCTTCATGAGTGAGAGAAAGAGATGAAGATAAAGACAGAGACAGAAAGACAAGTACCCTCTATGGGGTCTCACAACATGGTTTTCTCCCCCAGCCTTGCAGGCAGCCAGGATCACGGGCAGACAAGAGCACGCCTGGCGTGTAGAGGTGGACCCGGGAACTGCACCCTGCACTCCTTATGGCTTCCAGCACTGCACAGCGTTGTACTCATGTGGCACCATTGCAGCTGGGCCTATTAGGAGTGCTCATTCATTTCCAAGAATTGTATAATTCCAATTGTATTCGATAATGATAGAATACAGGTTAAGATGGAAACTGTCTGAATGTGGACAACAAAATCAATGCATTATACATGGCTGTGATGGGATTAAGAGGGTAAAACTTAATCCAGCATTGGTGTTGACAGTGGGGTCTTTGGGAGATTAGAATTAAGGGTGGGGGTGGGGCCCCCACGACAGACTCCCTGTGTGTCTACAAAGAGAGGGAGTGAAACCAGAACAGAGATGCAGGGACACAGATGCATTTACTCTTTCTCCATCACATCACTCGTCAGAAGGGAGACGCACACCAGATGCAGCCCTGGA